CATTAAATTATAACAAAAGATTAAGTGCGCAATATATGTGTTATCTGTAAACTAGTTGGAGACATAATGAAGAAAGGATTTATAAAAAAGATATTTTTACCAAGATTCTAACATGTGCGGAACTAATAGTGATTTTTGCACATTTTTTATTGTTCTGTAAAAAATTGGGATATACTATCTAGATATATGATGTTTGTTGAACGCAATTTTTAGTTTCTACTTAATGAAGGCTAGGATTATAGCCAATACCTAAATAAAAAAAAATTATGTTTTATTAATGATATGCCCAATTATTAAAGTTTGTTAATACATATGTCAACATCAAATTCAGAATTATATATGTTTACATAAATAAATCTATTAAAACCATTCAAATATAAAAATATTGAAACATTTAAAATAAATTAATACATATATAAATTTTATATTACTTAATATATAAACAAAATTACCGTAAATAGTGAATTTAGGCCCCATATTACATCTTTGAGTGTTCGTGTTGGTGCCCAACCTAATCCATCAATTGAATTTTGTCGGAGCAGGGATAAACAAACATCACCTTCAACAGTTATATTTGGATGCCAAAGCTTTGTTGCACATTTAACTATAGGAGGCTAAATATTTAACATTTAGAAAAACTCATATTAATACCGCTCACACATATTAAAACACAACTTTGGATGAAAACCTACAGCTATATTATATTCCTCTGTAACGACAACATCAAATCTAAATTTCCACCTTGCCAAAATCCTTCATCGGGGCACACTGTGAGGGTAAATTCACTTAATATGTCTGGATCTAAAAATGATAAAAAAACACTTATGTTAAATAAAATGAACACAACTTTTAATGAGATTACAAATTTCAATTATCATAGCAGAATGCATAAGTCTTTTATATTTTGAATTATAATTCGATTATATTTAAATTAGAAAATGTAATTTTTACCACTAAATTCAACACGGCATGTACAAGGCATGTTTTGCTCCATTTCTTGTATATCTTTAACTAAAAGTTGATCCCTTATTGAAATTCTTTTTGTCGTGGAAAGGGAAGAAGAACCCGTGGAATAATCATTTGTGGTTGAAGAAGGCTCATTTCTCTGTGTACTCTCTTTCTTCAGTTTTCTGGTTAAAGTTATCATACTCTTTTATATTTATAATAATCTAAAATTAACTGCAAAAAAATTGATCTTATAAACTTTTGATTTTATGTTGCAACTTGATAAACAAACACAAATATTTAATATAACAAAATTCCAAGGTATACCTATCAACAAACTATTACTAAATATAATCACAACACAATTTTATTAACGCTAAAAGCAACTTTTATTTTTTACAGTCGTCGCCAGCTGAAAATTTCTTTTGACATTTCGTAACTCATACCATAGATAGTCAACATACATTAATAATACAGGACGATACTGAGCGAGCGCTAATCATGCTCTTGAATTTGAAAAAAGCGCGCTAATAATTTGAATGATTTTGAATTCTTATCTGCATTATAATTTATTGTTAGATATTTATTTCTCTCATCTCAGCACTTGTTTGTTATATTTTGAAGCACGGCATCTTTCATATGAGAAATTTATGTTTTGCTAGAAAATCCGAATTGCTTGCTCGACGTTTCAAGTGATTCTGAATCGTTTCCTTAAATTGAAAAAAAGCCGAAGTTTGAGCTTTCGTCTACGTTTTCTAAAGAAAAACCTGAACTGATTTCAAAGATCTAAAAGTCGTACAATGATACTCGCATTGAGATTTGCCAGGCCGTTTCTTCTCAAATGTTAAAAAAAATTAATGAAACACTTTATAATTTATGGCCTAAACCAAGGATGAGCAATCAGCGGCCCACCAGTTGTTTTTCTGCGGCCCGTCTCTAGCGTTTCTCAACTACAGATTATTTTTCTAGATATTTTATCACATACGGCTGTAAAGGCTAATTCTGTTGTCAGTCAAATACTGGTAAAAACTGTTGTTCGCAGAAATAGCATTTCCTGATAAAATAAATATTAATTTAAATATTAGCTTAACAATATTGCTAGAAAAATTGAGAACTTGTCCGAGAACATAGCCATAACGCATTTCCAAATTTGAAATAAATAAGTATGTTTTATAAAGTCGCGAGGGTTAAATCACCGTAAATTTAAAGTATTCCTGAACAATTTAGAGCGTATATATAGAGATGATTGTAGTACTTTCGTCATTTTGGTAATGAAGAATAATATCTTCTGCAGAATCTTGTGTTTCACTTTCCATATTTAGAAAAAGAAAATGTGAACAAATTTTAATTGTGATTCCAAATGTTCAAAGCTAGCAAGACAGCTGTTTTCTTTGCCATTTAACATCGATGTAGGTACACTTTATGAAAAACCATCACAGAAAGTGATCTGCATTCAAAATAATACAGATTAAAAAAATGTACTTTTTCAATAAACATCGAAATTTTTTGAAAAACTCATGTCAGCTCTAAGAAATTTTTATTTTTGAAAAAAAAAACGCAAAGAAAATTATGATAAATTTGGAAGTAAGTATGCGCGCGAACAATTACACAGGTCCACAAAAGAAAAGTTGATGGAAAAATAATTAATTCATTTAGAAAAATGTATAGACTATATATTTATCTTCAGCGGTAAAAGGTACATTGGAAAACATATGTCACACACCCAATCCAGACAAACTCTGTTTTAATTTCGATTCACCGATCAAAATTGAGTGAAACATATCAAAGCTGCATACTTGTTGCTACTTTCCGCATTAAAAAACTTAAAATGAAGAACAAGATTGAAAAAAAACGGCTGATATTGATCAGCTTATATAAAAAAAGCAGTGCCAAATTTCTCATTAAAGTTTTCCAGTAAATTAGTTTTTCTGTTTAACTATTATTTGTTTTCATTTTGTATTAATTTTAAACTTATAATATACTCGTAATTATATAAAATACTAGCAAACCCAACGAACTCCGTTTCGCCACCAGATCGTTACGTGAGAAAGATGAAGAAATTTTTTGTTTGTTTTATATTTGAAAAGGAAAAATTTGATTTTATTATACAACAGTAATGAATTTATTTCGATTACAAAAATGAAGTGTTTTTTAGTTGAACTTCTCTAAGTAAATGAAAGTGAATCCGCAAATTATCCGTTTCATTGAAGTGCTCTTTGGTAAACCACATTTTTTGTTTTTTGATCTGACGTTAACACAAACAAAGCGAATGGTTTTCCAACTCGTGAACATACAACGTATAACTGCTCACGTGAAAAACAATGATTTTCTAAATAATCTATTTGAAATTTATCCCGCAAACACTAAGCGATTGGCCTTGCGACTTGTTAATTGTCATTGCGAACTGGAAATTGCAATTGTTTGAAGTCAAACGGAAGACCAGTCGGAATAATTGGTATGTCACCAAATCGCCAGAAATTTTTGATTGAATGGTGAAATTCAGTGTTTGTACATCATTATTCTTGGCGGCAATAATTGCTCGTTGACTTAACCAAGCATAATTCTGATAATTTTCACTAATGTTACTACTCGATGCCATGCACCACTAATTTTCTTAGCTATAAACCTTGCGGAGCCCGAGACCTTTCTAACGAATGCAAAATTGTCGAAATCGGTTCGTGCGTTCTGGAGTTACATAGTCAGGAAGGAAAACCCGACTTATTTTTATATATATAGAAGAAGAAGATATACTTTTTTCAACTTTGAATATTTGTTCTTTTCTTGTTGCAATTTTGTAATTTTGTTGCAATTAGATTAGTCCCGCGCTCAGTCAATGAATCTTTTTGACTTAATATTAGTTCAGACTTGCGAGTTTATGAAAAATCTTCAATTTTATTCAAAAAGAAAAAGCAATTTTTTTTTTTCATGGGTTGTACAACCGTAACAATTTTTTTTTAACTTTGTTCTTTATTTTAATTTTTTTTTTAATGCGGAATGGACAACTACATGCAACTCCAAATTTCACACTCTTATTTCATATAAGTCATTTTAGCTCGATAATCAATAAATTAACAATTATCGTCTTTTTCGTGAACGTGTTTAATAAAAACTCGATCAAGATTTTTCTGAGCTTATAAAAAGCTTAAATTTATCCACTTTATCCGCTGCCACATTTTAAAAACAATTGTTAGATATTGGCAACGAAATGGTTATCTCCTATAAAATTAACTGAATGCAGGCTTATGCTATTGTACAAATATTTCTCGATGTGCATAAGAAGTACATAGTTTTTGAATGCCTTGCAGAAGGAGCAATTTTAGCAAAAAAAAATTAGAAATTGAATATTAAAATTTGAAGATAAAACTGTTTTTAAAAGAAAATTGTTTTTTTTTTCAAGGTTAACATAATTCAAATATGGATGTTAGCATTTTAGCATTGCGTTGAGCAAATTATCAATGTAATTTGTGTTAGCTGCCCCTTTCATTTATATACTACATATTTATACATTCAGAATTAGCTAGCCATTTTTATACTAATGATTTTCTAAAAATAATTTCTGATGCAAAACGTTTGCCAGGTCTGCTAGTATATATATATAAACATGCGGCCCGCCATAAAATTTTAAAATTTGAATTGGCCCTAGGTTAAAAAGACCTCTTCTGTATTTATTGCATTGGAGAGCCTAGAACAGAAATAAGCAATTGTTCAAGTACTATGTACTTGATATTACCAGTGCATAAAAAAAAAAAAAAAATTAGCAAGAACATTTTATTTAAACCATTACACTACATCAGTAAATACAATACTACATTATAATAAAAATTAGAACTTACATAATATATTAGAAATGTGTCTTGGTAACACAAAAAAAGTTGGCAAATTGTTAATTATTATAGAAATTACAACAACCAAAAAGAAAATACGTAAATGGTAAACTAATTTCATAGATTATTTATATAAATGTACATGTCAATTTTAAGAATAATTACAAAACATTTCACATAGTGTAGATAGAATTATCATAATTATAATGTACAAAGTTGATAAACATCCCCATAATTTTGTTTAATATATTCAATGAAATTCTGTTATTTAATTGAGTAATAAAATCCATTTACAGGTAATATATGCAAATTAAGAAAGTAAGGCATGTGATTATATTGTAAGAAATTTTCTATACGTCTGTATCAATAATTAGTTCATACAAATATACTGCCAAATTTACACGGAATAATTCCAAAAAGTAGGTCCGGTCCTGCATTCAAAATGGCATTAATTTTATAAATACCTATTACTAAATTCTAGCAACAGGTATTATTTATGCAATGTTGATTTGGTACCAATTTATCTACGCTTGACGGCCTGCCATTCATCACCATCAGAAGACTGTGTATTGTCATTTGCTAAAATGAAATTAGCAATTAATAAAATCAACTTTTGTTAATTTACTGACTTAATACCTTTTTCATTCCTTGCATTTGACCTAAGCGGAGGACATCAGTTCTTTTTGGCATTTCCTGTGATTTTGTGGCGGATCTCCAATCACCGCCATCAGTTCTTGCTGGAGGACGGTCTCGTTCATTGCGCAATGATGGACCAAGTCTATCTCGATCCTAAAATTATTTCGTTTAATTTGTACAAAAATTAAGAAGGATAATCCTCAGGTCATATCATATAAATTATAAATTATAATTAGAATGATTGAAACAGTACTTATAAAAAAGTTATTTCACCAACTTCAAATTGTCTGAACTTACTGGTATTCGTCTCATGGGCCTGGCATCGTCATCATTTTTAATTATTGGCTCCTCGTTCATTTTCGCGATCCATTCTCCAATCTCGGCCGCCGCCACCACCACCGCCAGTTTCTCTATCGCGATCATGATCTCGTTTCATTCGATCGTCTCTTCGTTCAAATCTTCGTTCAGAGTCCCGTTCAAACCGACCACTTGATATAAATAGAAAGAAGTTTAATTTTTTTGGTATGCCTAGATTACTAAGTCGCTTATGTAATAGCTTCAATTATTATTTCAATCAATTATTTTCTTAACACTAAATCAGTTACACATCCATACACAATTTACTAAAATATGTTTTACCTAAATCAAAGGACATTAAGGACATTAATTTTGACGGTCGGACGGATTATTAGTAATTATGTGGATTTACAGAGTCAATAATCCATTAAGTGTTGTATGGCCATATGCATGGTGTAAATGAATGGTAAATAAATATTGTTTTCTTGGTGAAATACATATTCAAAAAA